ACTCATTAAGAAAAAAAAACTTTTTTCAAAGCAACTTTGATTTAACTTCATAGAAGTCAAAATATATACTTCTATAAAATCTCCTTTTCAAATTACTTAAAAGGAATTTTTTTGAGTTCATAACAATCATTTGTGCTATTCGAGTATATATCTATGTACAAAAATTAATTCTAATAATATTAGATATTTTTATTTTTTTAGACCATCTCGAATAATTGGTTAACAAAATGGAGACAGGAGATATCAGAATTGTCGAAAAATGAAAATACATCATTAAATTTAACTCAAAATGAAGATGGTAAAATAATTTAACAAGAAATGAAAAAGTCACTATTGAAATAAAAGTCACTATTGAATATACTGATGCCAGTAATTGATAATAATGTCGTGGACACTCATAAAATCTCGCGACACTCATGAAATAAATCAGACTATTTTATCACAAAAAATGAACTTTATTAATAAAACAAGAACAACAGAATCAACAGATTCGCAAGGTGACAGCTGCTCTTCCGTAATCGACTTCACAAAACAACAATCGTCACGTCAGTAGGGAACGATCCTCTCTTTCAAATATCGATTTTCAAGAGCTACGACAAGCGGATAACCAAGCGGATCACAATATTTTAAAGTAGAATTAATTAAAGTAGTTACTATCATTTGGAAGAAAGAATTATGAATTGGTATAAAGATATATGTACATTAGGCTTCATTTTTTTTTTAAATAACTGTATAATAGTTTTGCATGGCAATTTTTATTTAATTATTATATTTTTCAATAATTAACAATGAGTGAATATAATTTATATTCTATAATTTATATCATACAATAATTCTTTTCAATTTTTACAATTAATTAAATTTTAAAAAACATTATAATAAAGTAATTTTTTAAATAAAGTAATTTTTGCATTATTTTGAAGAATACTTTCTTTTTATTGAAGCAATATTTTCATATAGATTGATTAAGGTAACGCAATTTTTATGGGATTATATCTGATACTAATAAATGATATATATGAAACATATTTATTTTATTACTTTGATAGGCAAATAAGATACATATATTTTATATATTTTAATTACTAGCGCCAACTACACTTATTACATTAATCTTTTTTAAAATTATAATATTGATTATGATCATGCTTGCAGAAAAAAATAATTTTTTCAACAATCAAAATAACATTATTTAATAAAATATCTTCTTTCCATTAAAATAATACTTTCATATAATAATTTTTTCATGCACACATTGTGTGTACACTTGTAACGATGCATTGTTCCGAGCAATATCCATCCGCCGGACAAAAATATAATCGCCGATAAACGCTCTCGAATTTGTGCATAGTTCATCACGGCCCACAGGTCATACGTAGGGATTCGTATTACTTAGTGCGTCGTGGCAGAAATGCCCGAGCGCGCCCGGAAGGATCCGAATGCAAAATTCGATTCGTAATGCAGCGATAAACAACTTATTTATTGTTAGTTTTATTCCAATAAATAAGGGGTAAAATTAGGGGGTAATATCCGCGGATCGATCCGAAACTCTCCAAAACCGATCGAATTATCAATCCGCGAGGGATAAAAAGATCTGACTGAACTAAAGCGAGATTCTTGGATTCATTCGCCGCTCATATACGCAAAACCGACTCTGATCCTGACGAAGAAGAGGCTGAGAAGAGGTTGCGAGTCCCAGCCAGGAGTTATTGATCAACAGCCGCTCTCCTTCCAAAATCCGCTTATTGGGAATACTCGAGGTTAACATGTTCGCTAGAGCTCTCAGCCAGGAGTTACTAGCGCCGGTTAACATCTTCTTCGTTATCCGAATAACACAGCGAAAAGGCAATCACCACCGCTAGGTGTTTCTGACCGCTATGCTCTCATGGCCGAACACGATAGTACGTTTGCTATCGCGAACGGCCGCCCCGTCCCGTCCTTCGTGAATCTTCCACGATCCGCATCCACGTCCGCGATTAACCGCGCCTGTGACTAATCGAACTGTATCTCCCGCCGAACCGTACCTCCGCCACACCGAAACCCGCCATCCGCACTCGATCCGCGTTCGCGTCCGCGACCGCGCCGAGACTGACCGTATCCATCGAACTATCTCTGCGTCCGAAACCGACCACGTCTTGTCCATCATCGAATTATAAATCCTTTGTAAATAATAAACCGCGTGTTAAAATCGAATTATAACCCTTGTGTAAATAAACCGTTGCGTTTTAAACCACATTATACTTCTTTTCTAAATATTTTTGTAAATAATCAACTGTATATTAAATCAATTATTATTCGTCGTTGTATAAATATTCGCGCTTTCATCGGTTGTATCTAAATCTAAATCTAAATCTATCTGAATAAATAGTTAATATTCAAATCATATTCATCTTTGCCGTCATATTCGTCTTTCGCACCTCTCGGCATCCGACGAGCGTATCCGCACATAAGATAATAAACAATTAACGTACCAGCGATAAGGCATTCGTTTTACACTTGGCGTCCTTTTTTACTTTTTTATAAAAAAATAATCATGATATCATGCATTTTGTGTTAAGTATCTTATAAATAGTGTCCAGCCCAAAGTAAATTGAAAAATTAAGAATTAAAAATAAACAAAGTACGAATGGGTTCAGAAGGACGGAACAGCTGCTCTCTCGAGAGTCAGGCGTGGAAACGTGATCTCTCGAGTCGACCATATTGATATATCTCGGCACTGGGTCAGCCATAAGAGAACATTATGACGCCGCTCTGTAGACGTGCGTTCGTCGATCGTTAATAAGTCAAGAAATATAATTCCTTTTACCAGCGACAGACCTCGTACGATCAATGGAATGGGGGAAACGAAACGAGAGATTTTAAGAGAAATAAAGAAAGAAAATAAAATTTAAATTAAATTTTTAATAAGCTTTTAATAAGCTTAAAGATATACATGTTTAAGGAAGCAAGAGAAATAGCGTGTGGAGAGTAATATGCATGTGTGTTATCGCGAGTGTTACAATAATATGGAGACCATCGGATTTCTATACTATAAGATTTCTGGGGCAGTGTGAATGTTAATATTTAATTTACTGAGCGACAATCCTACCCGGTAATATTAATTGTCGAATAAATGTAAGTTAATAAAAACGATAATTTATATGGTTATGGTACGATATGGTATGATTTAAACGATAAAGTTAACTGCAAATATGCAAGTGTAAATGATATTGATACTGGAGAGTTAAGAAGGAGTAGCCCTGGTTTCCTACGAAGGGGGGTTATTAGGTCGAACAAACCGGTAGATTCTTCTTCTAGATCGGGAAACAGGGGTTCACGAAAAATTCACAAAGGGCCGGAGGAGAGAGCTCGAAAATCGATAACAGGTTCAGGTGTATAGGGGAGTAACTAGCCTCAAGTGCATAAATCAATCATTTTAGCGGATCAGTAGGTAAATCAAAGAAGAGTTGGGGTAATAAATCAAAGGGAGATCCAGGAGCAGAGATGATTAGAGTGATTGAGATGATTAAAGTTGATTGCGATGGTTCGATGGGGAGGTCAGGAAACAATTGTGAAGGTGAGTTAAAGGGAGATTCAGGGGCGGAAATGGTCGAGGTTGACTGCGACGATTCGGCTGTGTCTCTTGAAATTTATTTTGACTAGTTAACGCTGTTCTCGAGCGCCCGTCGAACTCGGCCGCTCCGGCGACTTTGTTTAAAAAAGCGGTTAGACTGTCGATGTTTAGAAGCTGGTACTTCTAATTGTTTCACTGCGAGAGAAAAGGATGAATAAATGAAGAGAGGTGGAAAATGTATTAATAGGAGGGAAAGAGACAGAGAGAGGAGGGGAAGGAGGGAGGGAAGGAGGGGAGGAAGGGAGAGGAGGAAGGAAGGGAGGGAGGGAGGGAGGGAGAGAGAAAGGAAGGGAGGGAGGGACGGAGGGAGGGAGGAGAAGGAGGGAGGGAGGAAGGGAG